GCTGGCTAATTTTTGTATTTTTAGTAGAGTCAGGGTTTCACTGTGTTGGCGAGGCTGGTCTTCAACTCCTGACCTCAGGTGATCTGCCCACCTTGGCCTCCCAAAGTGCTGGGATTATAGGCATAAGCCCACTGTGCCTGGCCAACAATAATATCTTAATACCATCTGACGCTGAGTTCATAATCAGATTTTCCCAGTTATCTTGAAATTCTCTGTTCTTGTCCCTCTTGCCTCTCTCTCTCTGCCTCCTTATGTGCCTGGCACCTTGGATTCCCTGTGTCTGCCCTGTCCCCTGATATCCTGTCTATGCTTCTCTTGGATTTGGGGCCTCTAGGCTCACTCTCCTCTCCCCACATCCTTCTCCAGCATGGGAGCTAGTGGGCAGAGAGAAGTATGTCTGAGCAAGAGGAGACCCCTGTCCTCAGGGAGATCCCAGGCCGGTGGGACAGGAGAGTAGGGCAGGGCCTGCTTCAGTGGGAGGGCTGGAGAGTGAGGGTGACTTGTCTGCAGCCCTTTGTCAGGGGGCCCTTGGAGGAGGCAGGGCCTTGGAGGCTAGGCAGGCCCCTATACCCTCCTGCTTCCCCTGCCTTCTCTCCCCAGGAGGACACACGGGCTCAGCGGCAGCGACTGCAGAAGCAACTGACTGAGCATCTGCGCCAAAGCTGGGGCCCGCTTGGGGCCCCCACACAAGCCCGAGACTTGGGAGAGCTGCTGCAGGCCTGGGGTGCTGGGGCCAAGACTGGTGCTCCTAAGGGATCCCGCTTCACACACTCTGAGAAATTCACCTTCCATCTGGTGGGTGCACCTGTGGACATGGGATGTGCTGATAGGCGTGGCAGTCTTGGAGGGTAGCTTTTTGTATAAGCGCCACCGCTTTATCCACATAGGGTCCTGTGTTCCCACTGGACAGGCCCTAGCCCGACTGGGGGGCAGATACCCAGAGGGGACCCTAGCTTCGCAGGGACTTGACTGGAGAAAATGTGGATAGGTGGGAACCATGCAAGGGTGTGAGGGTGTTCTTAGGGCAACATCCCCTTTCCCTAGGCAGTTTCCTCTGAGCATATCTTCTCTCCTAAGATGTCTACTCTGAGGGGTCCCCATCCTTCTCATGGGCATTTGAGGCTTGAGATATGGGGCAGGTAGGTAGGAGCTGTATCTGGGTCAGGGAGCTTTTTCCGCAAGCAAGCACTCTGGCCAGGGGTTGCAGATGGTGCCTTTACCCTCAGAGTCACAGGCCGCCATCAGTAGTTGAGTGGGCATGCATGCAGCACCAGGGGCAGTTCTCAGGGGAGGCTGAGGCTGGGCCACGCGAGGAAGGGCCTTCCCTGACAGCCAGGGTGCCCCTTGTCACTCCCTCAGGAGCCCCAGGCCCAGGCCACTCAGGTGTCAGATGTGACGGCCACCTCCCGGCGGCCTGAACAGGTGAGTAGAACAGGGTGGATGGGTGGTGTCTCAGCCCCTTGCTTGTCTACTGAACCTGACACCCCAACCCTGACTGGCCTGGGCCTCCCAGGACATGTGGGCAGCTCAGGAACAGGAGCTTGAGTCCCTTCGGGAGCAGCTGGAAGGAGTGAACTGCAGTATTGAGGAGGTTGAGGCCGACATGAAGACCCTGGGCATCAGTTTTGTGCAGGTGAGGGGCAGAGCAGGGGCTGTGCGTTGGGGTAGGTCAGAGGGAGGGCCTCGGGGTGTGAGGGACTAGATGGGGCAAGAGGTGCTCTGTAGAGGTCTGCAAATGGCAGAAGGGTTCCTGGGAGCTGTTGGGGATCTGTGGGGCTCTTGAGGGTGGCTGTGAGAATCAGGCCAGGGTGAGGGTCTGTGAGCATCTGTGGGGTACCATGGGCCTGCATGGGCAGGGGATTGGGGGATCCTCAGAGGGTCTGTGGGTGTCTGTGGGGCACTGTGGGCCTGCATGGGCAGGGGATTTGGGGGGTCCTCGGAGGGTCTATGGGCATCTGTGGAGCACTGTGGGCCTGCATGGGCAGGGGATTGGGGGTCCTCGGAGGGTCTATGGGCATCTGTGGAGCACTGTGGGCCTGCATGGGCAGGGGATTGGGGGTCCTCAGAGGGTCTATGGGCATCTGTGGAGCACTGTGGGCCTGCATGGGCAGGGGATTGGGGGGTCCTTGGAGAGTCTGTGGGCATCTGTGGAGCACTATGGGCCTGCATGGACAGGGGATTGGGGGTCCTCGGAAGGTCTGTGGGCGTCTGTGGGGCACTGTGGGCCTGCATGGGCAGGGGATTGGGGGGGTCCTTGGAGAGTCTGTGGGCATCTGTGGAGCACTGTGGGCCTGCATGGACAGGGGATTGGGGGTCCTCGGAGGGTCTGTGGGCATCTGTGGAGCACTGTGGGCCTGCATGGGCAGGGGATTGGGGGGTCCTTGGAGGGTCTGTGGGCATCTGTGGAGCACTGTGGGCCTGCATGGACAGGGGATTGGGAAGTCCTTGGAGGGTCTGTGGGGATCTGTGGGGCACCGTGGGTCTACAAGAACAGGAGATTTGGGGGGGTCCTTGGCACCAGCATGGAGCTGTTAGAGAGGGCTGTGGGGGCCACAGGGGTGTGTAGTCATCTGTCGAGCTCCATGGGGGCTGCAGCGTGTGACCAGGTATCCGTGGGTCAGGCAGAGTCTGAGTGCCGGCAGAGTGAGCTCAGCACGGTGGAGCGTGAGCAGGCCCTGCGCCTGAAGAGCCGCGCAGTGGAGCTGCTGCCCGATGGGGCTGCCAACCTTGCCAAGCTGCAGGTGGGTTTGGGGCTGTGACTGGGCAGGGAGGGGTGGGGTGGGGTGGGTTGGAGGGCCCAGCCTGTGTGACACGTACCCACTCCCCACCAGCTTGTGGTGGAGAGTAGCGCCCAGCGGGTCATCCACTTGGCGGGTCAGTGGGAGAAGCACCGGGTCCCACTCCTTGCTGAGTACCGCCACCTCCGAAAGCTGCAGGATTGCAGAGAGGTAAGCAGTGGGGCCCTGGGCTGTGGGTGGGCCAGGGCAGGCTCAGTCCCTCTCTAGGGGGCCATCCCTGTGCTCTGCTCACTGTCTTCTGCCTGTGGGCTCCTGGCAGCTGGAATCTTCTCGACGGCTGGCAGAGATCCAAGAACTGCACCAGAGTGTCCGGGCGGCTGCTGAAGAGGCCCGCAGGAAGGAAGAGGTCTATAAGCAGCTGGTACGGCCTGTGTGAGGGACCTGGGTGGCTTAGGAGGGTGAAGGGTGAGTCCTGGGGGAGTGCCTGCTATGTCCCTGCCTAGGTGTCAGAGCTGGAGACTCTGCCCAGAGACGTGTCCCGGCTGGCCTACACCCAGCGCATCCTAGAGATCGTGGGCAACATCCGGAAGCAGAAGGAAGAAATCACCAAGGTACACTGCCAGGGCCATGGAGGGTGGGTCATGTGGGCTGTCAGGTGTAGTGTGGTGGCATGGGGACCTCACATCACCAGGTAGACAGAGCTGTCCAGCCATACCCTGACACAGAACACTCACGCACAATCCATCCCAGTCAACCCTGATGATGACACAGTCCCTGTCTATTGCACATGAGCACCCTCTACTGCCAGCCACCCTGCCCCAGGCAGGGGCTCATGGTTACCATGGTGTCTGCCAGATCTTGTCTGACACAAAGGAGCTTCAGAAGGAAATCAACTCCCTCTCTGGGAAGCTGGACCGGACGTTTGCAGTGACTGATGAGCTCGTGTTCAAGGTGTGGGGCAGGCTGGGCGGGGGTGAGTGGGGTGAGGCTGGGCTGCTGCCTGTGCATCTGCTCATGGGCTGGCTGGGGTCCAGACCTGGGCCCTATGCAAGGCTGGAGGTGCACTGATGCCCAGGGCTGGCTTTGTTCCATGGAGGATGAAGCGAGTGGGGCTGTGGGAGAGGTTGGCCTTCTTGGGGCATAGAGATGGTCGGGGGCAGCCCACTGATACCTTGGAGATCCCTGTGTCTGGTCAGGATGCCAAGAAGGATGATGCTGTTCGGAAGGCCTATAAGTATCTAGCTGCCCTGCACGAGGTGAGGGAAGTGTGCCTGGGGCGGGGCCACTGGGGGTGGGTGGGCCTGGGTGCAAGCCTTTTTCCTGCTGTCCCCAGAACTGCAGCCAGCTTATCCAGACCATTGAGGACACAGGTACCATCATGCGGGAGGTTCGAGACCTCGAGGAGCAGGTGAGGCCTGCTAGGGTGAGGCAGGATAGGGAGGCAGGATAGGGAGTCAAGGCAGACCAGGGAACAGTTCCTCAGGTTATGCTGAGAGAGGCGGTGGAGCCAGACACAGCCTACAGTCAGAAGCCCAGCCCTGCCCCCTAGTGCCTGTGCCTGTGACCTAGAGCAGGCAAGTGGCCTACTGTGAGCCCTAGCTTCCACCCCAAGGGCCCTCCTGCCTGCTTCCCAGGGCCATGAGCAGAGGCTTCAGCTTGAAGACGTAGGGGTAATCCTGCCAGGTAGTAAAGGATGCTTTGGGTGGAGGGAATACCACGTGAGAAGGCCTGGGCATGGGACAGAGCAGGCTGTGGTTGGAGGTGGTGGGAGGGGCCCAGAGCAGGCTATGATGGGGGCTGGCGAGCAGGAGCTGGGAAAGGGGCTGTGTGTGCTGAGAGGCCATGTGTTCACATTGCCTCAGATCGAGACAGAACTGGGCAAGAAGACCCTCAGCAATCTGGAGAAGATCCAGGAGGACTACCGAGCCCTCCGCCAGGAGAATGCTGGCCTCCTGGGCCGGGTCCGGGAGGCCTGAGGAGCCGCCGGCAGAGGTCTCTCCCCAGCCTCAGGCAGGGGTTTGGGGTGCTGGAGGCAGTGGCCAAGCACTTGCCCTTGCTACTCCCTCTGCTGCCCAGTTCCTTCTGCTGCTGCCTTGGACCCAGACCCTTGCCCACTGACCACAACCCTTATCTGGGGTGATAGTCCAGCATGTGGTGAGCTCAGCTGCAGTTTATTGGGGAGGGTACTGTGGGTTGGGGGCCTTGGATCCCAAATAAATGAGGAGTTCCTCTGCAGTCTAAGCTGAGGCATGGATCAGGGCTCAGGGCATGGGAGTGAGGTGAGTGGCAGGGGAGACACAGAGTATTTTTGGCAAGTCAGTGTGTGTAGCTATGTGTGTCTGCATGGGACTCAAGAGACCCACTGGGGGGCTGTGTGTGTGCACATGTGTGAGATATGTAGGTGAGTTCTAACGGGCCATGTGTGTGACCGAGCATGTGTTGGGAGCTGCATGAGACCATGTATGAGCAATTACGTGTCTGTGTGGCTTTGTGGGACCTGAGATCCTGAGGGTGCTGACGCTGCTTCTGTGTAGGCCTCTGGGCACACCCTCGTGTGACAGTGCCCCGGTGGGCCCTGAGGCTGGCTGTGGGTGTGTGCCTTGGGGTATGTGGGTTGTCAGGGCCATGCTTGTGTGTGATTGTCTGATGACGCAGCTTTGAGGTTGTTCGAGTGTACTGAGGCAGGATCTCTGTGTTTTGGGATTTGTGTTGAGTGAGGGACAGGATTGTGACATTTTGTGTGTCTGTGTGACTTTTCCAGCCCTGAAGTCATCTGTGCGAGCAGCTGAGGCAGGCTTTTTGGCTGTAGGGCTCGAATGGGGGGTATGTTTGGTGTAGAGGTCGGGGCTGGGGCTGGGACTGGGGCACCTCTGACCAGCCTTGGGGCAAAGGATATGATGGGGGAGGGGGTGGCTGCCAACGGGGGAACAGGGGCCCTTGCAGGCAAGATGGTGGAAACCTCACTTCTTGGTCCCTGTGGGCACATCCAGGGCCTGTCATCCCTGTCCCCACCACCTCTGCCTTCCACCAGTTTGGCCCCTGTTTGTCCATCCTCCTTTCCTTGGTTTTGAGGTCAGGGGCCAGGTGTAGGGTTGGAACATCTGCTGGGCCTCTGGCTCCGTTTCTTGCGGAACTCCAGCTCATCCACGGTCCACACAGCCCCCTTCTCGCTCTCCACTCGCACGAAGCACTTGTGCAGGCTCAGGTTGTGGCGAATGGCGTTCTATGGAAGGCCGGGGACAGGGAGCAGGTGGGTGTCAACCTCTGAGGCCAGCAGCCACCAACAACAACCCACCTCCCGATCCTCCCCAATGTGCCTATCAGCCCAGCCCCAGGCCTGCTCACTTCGAGCTATGGTGGCACTCGAGGCCATCCCAGCCACCACCACCTCCAGAGGAGCTCACCTTCCAGGTGGCAGGATGGTTTCTGAAGAAGGCAAACATGCGTGTGAACCAGTGGTAGATCTCATTGAGTGTCCGCTGCTTCTCTGGAGCCTCCAGGATGGCCTGGAAGTTGGGGAGTGGGGTAAGGGGCATGTTCCCCAAAGTTGGGGTTTAGAGGGGCTGTGACCTACCCTGAGCCATCTGACATGGGGGTGGAATTGTGGGGGAAGGTGATCAGGGACAGGACTAGATTTGGGGTGAAGCATGGAGTCAAAGATGGTGTTAGAAAAGAGGTAAAGTGTGGGGCCAGGCAGGGTTCGATGTAGGGTGTGGGTCTGGTTGTCTGTGATTAGGTAAAGGATCAGGGCTGAGGTTGGGAGTGGGTCTTGTTCAGGGCTCGGGCTGGAGTGAGATGAAAGGTCTGGGATGGAGTTGGAGCTGGGGTTCTCCATGGGGTGACATTTCAGGGTTGGGGAAGGTGAAGGATCAGGAGTGGGGTCAAGGATTTGGAAGGGGTAAAGGGCCAGGCAGACTTAAAGGTCAGGGAAGAGGTGGGTTAAGAGTCAGGCTGGAAGTGGACTCAGGTGGGTCTAGGGGTGAAGGATGGGATGACGTGGCTTTAGGTCAGGAGCCAGAGATGGGTCAAATTATTGAGTATCTTACATGTCAGGGACATGGTTAGGTGGTTAGGCTTGGGACAAGGATGAGGTTAGTTGTGGGGTTTGGTGTGGAGTGAGGCTGAGGGTCAGATAATTTGATCAGTTTGGATTCAGGAATGGGATTACAGAGTTAGCGATGATGATTGCAGTAAGGCCGTGAGCCAGGATGGGGCTAGCTTAGGGCTTCAGTTCAGAGACAGTTGGAGAATGTCTGGTATCATGTAGGGGTTAGGTTCAGGTTTGGGGTTAGGTGTGGGGCTAGGATGAAGGTTCTGAGAATGGATTGGGGAGGCTGAGATGAAGCAGTTGGGATGGGGTGATGAAGTTAAGGGTCAAATGCATGTTATAAGGAAGGGTTGGGAATGGGGCTCAGCCAGGGGTGTATTGACATACTGGGGTACATTGGGGCCAGGGAAGGAGATTGGGTTGGGATAGCATAAAGGCAGGGAAAGAGTTAGAGTAAGAGCTAGGGTATGTCTACGGCAAAGTGCAGAGATGGGGTTAGTTTTAGGCTATTTTATAGGTCCAGGAGAGGGTTAGGTATGGGGCTGAGGTGGATATCTGGAAAGGGGTAGGTTTAGGGTCAGAATTTGGCATGCTCTGGCCTGGATGGTGGTTTAGGTTTGGATTCAAGGACAGGATCCTCTGTGACTCACTGTTTAGGGTGAAGCCAGGATGAGGGGTCACATTTGAGGCATGGCTTGGGGCTCCTTTGGGCTGGGGCTTAGAAATGGAGAAGCCCACTCTGAGGGCACTCAGAGAGAGACAGGAGTTCAGGAGGCAGGTCCCCCACCCCGTCTTTCTCTTCCTCCTCCTTGGGGCTGAGCTGCTCTGCTTACCCAGCGGATGAGCGTGGCATAGGTGAAAGGGGGTCGCATGTTGTGGAACTTGAAGTAGTCCATGTTGTGGAGGAACTCTGGCAGAGGGTGGGGATGAATCAGGCCCCATGTAGGACCCCCTAGCTAGCTCCCTCTCCCCTCCCCCTACAAGGTGAGTCTACAGGCCTGAGATCCCACCATCAACACCCGTGTCCACGGGCACAGGTACTGTCTGCTGAGCACCTGACATAAGTTGTTTAATTTATTCTTTGCACCACTTCTGCCAAAGTAGTTCTCCCTGAGGTTGAAAAGAAGCGGAGTAACTTGCACACCAAAGGGATGCAAGAGGTTAAATGGCAGAGCTGGGATGCCAGTCAAGGTCTCTGATCCCTGCTAAGCCCAGAGGCCAGGCCTGGTGGAGAGCAGTGGATTGGTGAGCTTAGGTGAATCCATCCCATTTTCCTTAGTCAGGGGAGGAAAGGAGGTGTCCCTGTAATTCCTTAGCAGGGCCCTCCCTTCTGATGACTGAATGGAGTAGCTGGAGTTCAGAGTGGGTGACGCATGACCCCAATCCCCAACGGAGACAGGGCTATGGCAGGACACTTGAGACTATACGGGGCTTTTAGGTCACGGACATCCTGAGAGGAAGCTTTTGTGAGCGGATGCATTTTCCCAAAGGCTGAGTGGTGGTAGCTGTGGTGGTGGTGGTGGGAAGAGGCAGTATGGAGCTCCTTTGCACCCTCCTCCCAGAGCCGGTCAGGATTAGGAGCTTGGGGACACTGTGTAGTGCAAGGACCATTCTTACCTGGGAATGTGCTGTTTCCATGGCTGCCCCACAGGTGCCTCCGCACAGCAAACAGGCTGTCGGGGGCCTCCCGGGGGCCAGACCAGGCTGGGACCATGCTGCCTTGGCTGCCAGCAGCTACAATGCAGCAGGAGGCCTTGTCAGATGATGCCTGGGAGGGGAAGAGGCTGGTGACCCAAAGGCTTAAACTTCCCACTTTTTAATTTTTTTTTCCTTGCTCTGATTGCCCAGGCTGGAGTGCGGTGGTGTGATCTCAGCTCACTGCAACCTCCGCCTCCCAGTTTCAAGCGATTCTCCTGCCCCAGCCTCCCGAGTAGCTGGGATTACAGGCACCCACCACCACATCTGTCTGATTTTTGTATTTTTAGTAGAGCTGCGGTTTCACCATTTTGGCCAGGCTGGTCTCGAACTCCTAGCCTCAGTTGATCCACCCATCTCAGCCTCCCAAAGTCCTGGGATTACAGACGTGAGCTACTTCGTCTGCCCCTACTTTATTTTTAAAACAGTGTTTTTCAAAACAAGGACGCCCTCTTCTTAATTCCAGTCTGGGGTGGAATCCCACAAAACAGCATGAGTCGTATTTATTAGAGCACAGGTGCAGACACCATATGTGGCCACAGATGCTGGGACCATGAGCTGGGGTTGAATAGGGGTTTTTGCCACCCAACTGTGACCTTGGGAAAGTCACCTAAACCTCCCTGGCCTCAATTTTCCTAATCTCTATATTGACATCCTGAGAAATAAATTACCACCAGCAAAGCACTCAGAAACAGTGCCTGGCCCCCAGGGCGGCTTCATGCGCATGTGACCTGTGTGGTTATGTGACACCCTGTGCTTTGTTTAATGCTCTGTGGTTGCCATGTTGAAATCTGAACAAGGGGCCTGTAGGTTACATAGCTGGTCCTGCTGGCACACAGCCTGTGTCTTTGGCTATTTGCATTTGCTTTGACAACTCAGGATCACAGTGTTTGGGAATCTTAGGGTCAGAGGGTTTGCAAGTGGAGGGGGATAGATTTCCAGGTCCCGGCATGTTTGGAGCTGGGGACAGGGGCCCCTAGCTCTCAGGGCCTGCATGTGAGGTTAGGTTCCCTGCACCCTGCAGGCCTCCTCCCTGCCCCCCAGCAGTCTGAGTCTGCCACCAGCAGGCCTGGGGTTGCTCACCACAGATGGAGCCTTGGGCACTGCCATTTTCCCGGCCAGGTGGGCCTGCATAGCACTCAGCTTCTCCTTCTCCAGCACCAGCTGTGAAATGGCACAAACATGAGGCCTCAGCCTGGCCTTTCTCTGCCACATCTTTGCCCAGGCTATGGTCTTCAATGGGAGTGCCCGCTCTTCTTCCTTCCTTTATACTAGCCCGCGTCCCGGGTGAACTTGGTTTCTGGCAGGTGATGGACAGAAGGTTTTCCCCACTATCCCTATTCCCTATCCCCTGTCCCCTATCCCCCACTGCCCCAGAATTACCTGTTGCTCCAGAGACTGTACCATCTCTCTCTGGAGGAGACATTGCGCCCTGCCCTTTTCATCCAGAAGATGGTCCTCCTGGCAGTGCCTAAGTAGGGAGAAGATTCCATGCAGGTGACCATGACAAGGCTGGCCTGGCTCAACGCTCTGAATGGGTGGGGGGGCAGGCCCTCTGGGAGGTCTCTCCTCTTAGCTCCAGCTCCCCTCCCCTTTCTACATCAGTTTCCCTCTCACACCCCTCATTCCCTCAACATGTGCCACTTGGCACCTACTGCATGTCAGGGCTGAGCTTACCACCTGGCCAGGGTGCTGGAGGTAATGTTGGAAGTGTGGTGAGCTGAGATGGGGCGAGGCAGGTGAGAGTGGGTAAGACACTGAGTGGAAGGGACGGCCTATGCAAAGCCTGGCTACAAGGAGGACAGGACATTCGAGTTGCTGCTAAGGATTGTGCATAGTGTGTGGGGTATGTGTGTGTGTATGTGAGAGAGAGAGAGGGAGAGGGAGAGTGGGGTGTGTGTGTGTGTGTGAGTGTGAGACAGTGGGGGGAGAAGGAGAGGGAGAGGGAGGGAGAGGTGGAGGAACTGAGAGGAGGCAGCAGCAGCCATCTGGAAGAACTGGAACTTTGGAGACATGGAATAAGGCTGGCATGTTGGCATGAGGAGTAGCAGGGCAAAGCAGTTAGGAGTTCAGATTCTGGAGCCTGGCTGTGTGGGTTCAAATCCCAGCTCTGTCACTCAAGAACTGGGAGGATTTTGATCAAGACACTTAACCTCTTTGACCTCAGTCTTCTTGTCTATAAAATGGAGGTAAATAACAGCATAAATGTTTCTTATTATACATATGAGGAAACTGAGGTCCAGAGAAGCTAAGTAACTTGTCCAAGGTCACACAGCTAGTGAGGGATGGAGCTGGGGTTTGAACCCACAGTCTCAGAGTTTACCTCTTTTATCTTGCTACGTATTGGGATGAGGCCTGGGCTAGTATCTGCACCCCAGACCTCCCTCCACAAGCCAGGACTGGTGAACAGGCACAGGCCTCGGCCACTCACTTGAGGAAGTCCTCTGGCTCTTCGAAGACCTTCTCACATCCAGGCCACTTGCAGATGCCATTTGCCAGCAGTGGGTAGGAGCTCTGGGGTGTGGCCGAAAGGGTGCTGGGGGGACAAAGGGTGTCAGGGGAGGGGATAGAAGGTCGAGGATCCTTCCCAGCCCTGTCCACTGACCTGTCCTTCCTGGGTGCACCAGGATTTGGGAAGGTGCAGAGCAGTGTCGGCTCCCTGGACAGCCACTCCACACTGGCCACATTGATCCCTGTGGATGGGGACAGGGTACTTTTGGGGGCTGTGGGCTGCGCTCTGGAGCTTGGCCCACAAGGCCTCTCATTTTGAGCTTCCCACCCTCCTGAGCCTCGAAAACTCTGACTCCCAGGGCTCTGCTGTCCCCAAATTCCCAGGCTTCTGGCAGAGAAGCTCAAAGATGGCCATTTGCAGGTGCTGACATTTTGACTAGCTTTGTAAAGCTCTGTGGTTTCATAATTTTGACATTCAGCATCTTTAAGGTTCTGCACCTGACGTTTTTTGGAGGTTGGAGTTTCCAAGCCTCTGAGACCTGACACCTTTGACGTCCAGAGGACTGCAATTCAGAATAGCCTACACTGCTCACGGCCAAGGATCTGGGGACTTGGGGGTTCTGTGAAGCCATGGGGTACGGGCTGGGGTGTTACCAGGTGGGAGGCCAGGCCGGGCCTTGAGGGAGAAGACCCCAGTGGTGGTGGTGGGTGGCGGGAGGCTGATCATGGCTGGGCTCTCCAGGGGGTGCACCTGCAGCACAGGGGTCCGGGCGTGGGCATCCACTGTGGAGAGCTGGAGGGCACATGTGGGCTGTGGCTCAGCCTGACTTGGGGCCCCTCCCCACACTTCTCCCACCTGCTCCCTCCTCCCTGCCCATTCATGGTCCATACCTGGTGCATGAAATGTGGCCTGTCCTGGAGGAGTGCCTGTAAGTGGGGCAAGGGGCCCAGCCGTGCCCCGGAGGGTGCCACCATGACTAGGGGCAGTGTGGGCAGCTGGGCAGAAAGGCAGGTGGGTGAGAGGTCATCCTCATCCTCACTGTTCTGTGTCTAATTCATATACTCTGCACTGCAAGCCCACATGGTAGATACTATGATCGTCCCCCTTTTACGCATGTGGAAACTGAGGCTCATGGAGATCGAGTCATTTTTTTTAAGATCAAATAGCTAATAAATGGCAGAGCTGGCCTCAACCCTGTCACCTCACTTCCTTGAGCCCCAGTCTTCTCCTCTTGTCACATGGGGATGGGGACACATAGCTATGCCCATGGGACTATGATATGGCATCCTCCTCTCCTGAGACAGGGATTGGGAGGTTGGGGAGAGCCTCCGATCTCTGAGGCCTGGCAGGTGGGGACTTTCTTGGCCCTGCAACATCTGCATAAGTCACAGACTTGCCTGGGACCCAGAAACCACTTCCTGTGCCCCAACCAGCCCCCCTCCCGCCTGGTGCCACAGTAAAGGTCGGCACCTGTAGGCCCAGGTACCCCACCCTGCCTGCCTCACCCTGGGCCCTGGGTCTCACCTGCAGCTGCGATGGTGGCATGGGGTTCAAGGAGGAGGAGGAGGAGGCATGGGCCCCGCCTCGAAGATCTCGGCCCTGGAGGGCTCCCCCTGGGCCCCGGGCCCCCAGCAGGTCTGAGGCTTTGGGTGCAGCCCTCCAGCTGGGCGAGGCTCCTGGGGATGGGCCAAGGGCCAAGGAAGGGGCTGAGGGCTTGACTGGCCTGGGGTTGGGCATCGAGTCCTTTTCCGAGAGCGGGCTGCGTAGACATAAGGGAAAGGAGTCACACGTGTGCTGGAGCAGTATGAAATACTTGATCACCTGAACCACGTGGACACCCCTCTGGTCAGAGCAGGCATTGGCTGGGACATGTCCCAAAGGGCCCCACAGCTGCACCCCAGTTCAGGACACACACACACACACACACACACACACACACACACACACACGTGAGTCAGGAACATAGGTACACGTGGACACCCCTCTGGTCAGAGCAGGCATTGGCTGGGACATGTCCTGAGGGGGCCCACAGCTGCACCCCAGCTCAGGACACACACACACACAGAGACACATGTCAGGAACACAGGTACACGTGCATACCCACACACGCCCCACGTGCACAGGTCCAGCACCTGGCTTGCCTGCCCATGCTAGCACAGCCCTGGTGTGTACAAGGGCAATGGTTGTTTCCCCTTCCACTTGAGAGCTGTCTTCAAGCCTCAGGCCTCCAGCCCTCCCTGCACCCTGCACAGGCTGCCTTTGCTTATCTTGCTGGAGCTAGTATCACACTTTTTCCTGGGAGTCCTATTTTGCCCTGTGACTAAGCATGGACTCAAAAGATTCATCTGGGTGTGGTGAGTGGGGCCAGTGAGGAGGCTATTGCAACAGTCCTGGCAACTGATGATGCTGGCACAGAATGGGCTGGTGGCAGTGGAGAAGGTGAGAAGTGGGTAGATTCTGAGACTAATCTGAAGCTGGATCGGGAGCAGTGCAGGCAGCTTGGATGTAGTGGGTAAGAGAGGGAGCGTCAAAGTGACATGGGTTTTAGCTTGAGTAGCTAGAAGGGCTGAGCTGACATTACCTGAGATGGGGAACGTGGTGGGGAGTGGGGTTAGGGGTGAAAGTGCAGGTGTGGATAGACATGAAGAGTCTGGCATTAGATGTGTGAGTAGAGAAGCTGAGGGGGCAGCTGAATATGGGAGTCTGGATCTTAGGGCAAGGAGGCAAGTCCAGAAGTGTGATCATGCATGGATCTAGCATGGCAGGTGCCAGAGAGGAGGAGAGATGGGCTCTTTTGAGCTGGGGCCTGTGGAAATTCCTCAGCCCAGCCCCCATCAGAGTTCACCTCAATTTCTGGCCCTCAAGCCTGGCTCGTGCTACTTGCCCTGCCTGGAATGCCCACTCCTTCTCCTCTTCCCCTGTCTAAGCCATGCAAGGCCTGCTCTTCTGTTGTCCTCACCTTGAAAGCCCTCCACAATGGCTCCGGGTCCCTCTGCTGAACTCCAGAACATTCCACTCCCTGAGGGAAGCCTTGACTTTTTGGGATCCTGTAATCCTGGCCTTAGAGGAAGCCAGAGCTGGAAGGGACTGCCCAGCCAACCCCATTTTACGGTAGGGGATGCTCAGATGCTGAGTTTCGTAGTCTCAGTGATTTGAGAACTCTACTTTCTTTAGGAAATGTGTCCATATGCACATTTTACAAACTCTCTGGTGTGTGTGTCTGTCTGTCTGTCTGACTTGTCTCCCTGTCTCCCTGTTCTACCTCACAACACTGAGTTGGGCACACAGCTGCTGAGAGCAGCCTGGGGGAGTATAGAAGGTTTCTTTCTGGGGGAGCGGTTGCCCTTTCCTTTCTTTGCTGTCACCTCCTGGGGGTTGCCAGAGCTGTGGTGCTGAGGGAGATGAGTGTGAGAATACAGGTATTAAGTTCTTAGTCTCCTGGGGGCTTAGAACATTACTGTGTGAGAATCAGGACTGTGGGTCTGTGGAGGCTCTGAACAAGGGTCTGTGAGAGTACTGGTGAGATGAGGTGAGTGAATGAATGAGTGAATGAATGAACCCAGAGATGGGGTGATGCTCCTTCAAGCCAAGGAATAACAAAGATCGCCATCAACGACCAGAAGCTGGGGGAGAGGCCTGGAACAGCTTCTCCCTCACGGCCCCCAGAAGGAACCAACCCTGCCAACACCTTGATCTTGGACTCTGGCCTCCAGTACTGTGAGATAATCAATTTGTGTTGCTGAAGCCACCTGGTTGTGGTACTTGGTTATAGCAGCCAGAACAAACTAATACCGATTTTGGTGCGAACAGATGTTTTCTACCATTCTGGCCTGGCCCACACGGCTGGCCTGCGGTCACTTCTGAAGCTGCCTGGACATGTGGCCAGAGCTAAGAATTCTCCCCAAACACATGTGGGATGGCCTGACTCAGCGAAGCATAGATACATTCTCAGACAAGGACATGGAGATGATCTGTCTGGGAGTAGGGGACCTGGAGGGTCGGGCTGGGCAGCCGGCTTCCTGCACTGTCTGTTGGGACGTCCCTTTCTGACTAGGTTTCTCAGAAGCTGAATGGGGGATGTTTCTGGGACACAGATCATGTTTTCATATCGGGGTCTGCATCTGGGGCCTGTTGTCACAGCCCTTGACTTGCCCAGATTTTTCCGCCATTGACGTCATGGCGGCCGGATGCGCTGGGCTTCATTGACACCACGGAGGAAGAGAAGAGGGCAGATGCCCCACCCCACATGTTTCGTTCCGAGAACTGGCTGCCCTGTCCTGTAGCAGGCTTGGCCCAGGTGGGGTGACGTGGGTGCTTTTGGATGTGGTAGGTGATGTCCATCTGGCCACTGTGACAATCCCCTGGCTCTGTAGGCCTGGCCCTTTTTGAGTTGTGGAGAGGATCCAGGTTTGAAGCTCTGAGAGTGCCAGGCATGGGACCCCTGGGGTCTTCAAATAATATAACACCAGGACCTCAGAATCATAAAACAGCATTCCTTTGATTTAAAGGATCCTAGAATCTCAAAACCACAGACTGTGGGGTCTACAGTCCTAACTTCTCAGTATGTATATAGGCCAGTGTCTCTGGTGTCCAAACTCCCTGGAACCACCTGAAGGTCAGGCAGCTCGCTGCTTCATAGGGCCACTTGCCTACCAGGCCTGGAACCGTGGCCAGCCTCCCCAAGGCCTGTCTCCCTGTCTACTCTGGAACAACATTCCCAAATTCATGGCCACTCCGCCAGAGATGGCAACACAGGGAGGAGGAGGTTGAGGCTGGTGTGCCTTTGGCCTGGGCCTCATGGGAGGAGCTGGAAAAGCCTCTGCCTTTGTCAATACAGAACCCACCACCAAACTCTCTGGACAAGCCCCACAATCAAGGTTCTCAGAGACCAGCACCAGCTCTGGGGACACAAAACCTGACTGACTGACATGCTACCATCATCACCATACTCTGGTCAACTAGGCCTCCTGACCTATGGGGCCTGTGGCCTCACCTAGCCCAGCTCTTATGATGCTGGGCCCTATGCTGTGATCGTGGATCATCTAGTCTGTGAGAAGTTAGGGTCCAACATGTGAGAAAGCAGAAGGGGGAATGGTGGCAGGTCCCCCTTCCCTTTATGGGTGCTGAGGGGTAAACAGGCCTGCAGTCGGGGAGAGAGCCAGAGCCAGGATCCTACCAAGAGTCCTGAGATCTAGGCTTGAGTTTCAACTCTGCCGCTGCATTTCAGTGAGGCCCTGGGCTCTCTGGTCCTCAGTTTGCCCTTCTACAGTGAATGGGGAGTGGTGTGGGGTAGATGAGGGCCAGGGCCCTTCTATGCTGTGTCTGGGTAAGTCATTAGGTGTCTTCAGGGCTTCAGGTTGACAAGTGCCCCTCTATCTAGGGGACTGGTAGGGATACCTAGAGATAAAGAGACACATACAAAGACTGAGAGAGAACAAGAGATAGGGACATGGAGAGAAACAGAGACATGCACAGAGAGCAAGAGTGAACGAGTGCGAGAGGATTTCCTCAAATAAGAACATTTTCTGGTCTCTGGCTGGTTCAACTGATGCTGCCTGAAATAATAATGAATAAAGAAGGGCAAGGTGCCAGGGGCACCCATAGTTGGGTGTTGAATTGTATTGCAAAGCAACAATCAGAAAAACAATGTGGCCCTGGTGTAACAACAGATACTGGGGAAGAGAACAGAATGGAAAGCTCGGACATGGACCCACATATGGAGAGAACTAAGTTTGTGCTGAATGTGGCATTTCAAACTGGAGAACCATAGAGGATAGATTGTTTAACAAATGTGTCTGAGATAATTAGGGAGGAGATAAAGTTATTGACTGAATAATCAGTCCATTATCCCAACAACTCTTCCCTGCCCAGTTTGAAATGCCATGGCACATCATCATATACCCTAAAATACTCAGATCCGTTCAAGATATAAATTTTAATACCTAACGCTGATCTTGGGTTTATTGTGTGTCAGGCCTTGTGCTAAGTATTTACTGTGGTTAAAAATTTCAATCTAAAGAAAGACTACTGAGGAAGGTACTATTATAATCATCACAGTACATATGAGGAAATGGAGGTAAGGAAAGGTTAAGTGCCTGGCTAAAAATCATACACAGGGCTTGGGGTGACGCTGGGTTTGTCCCAGACAGTCTGGCTCCAGTACCCACATTCTTAACCTCTACAGTAAATGGAAAAAATGAAGCCATAAAAGACACTAGAAGCCAAAACAGGTGAACCTTTATCTCATTTTCAAGTGGGAAAGGACTTTCTAAGCATAAAACCAGAGACAGAAGCCACAGGAAAAAAAGACTAACTTATTTGACTATATAAAACCATCATAAGCATCACAAAAAACACCATAAACAAATAGAATAAAACAGATGATGAACTGGGGAAAATATTTGCTATATATATGTATGGCTGATGAAAGGTTAATAACCATTCCAAATAAAGAGTTGTGGCAAATCAGTAAGAGAAAAATAAGATGAACAGACTATCGGGAGTAAAGACATGACCAGATAACCAAAAAAAGAAAAGAAAAAAAAAGGACAAATGGCTAATAAATAGTAAAAGTAATCAAAAGATGCAAATTTCAACAATGCGATAATGTGTTTTTCTTACCCGTCATGGTGGGAAATAATTAAAAAATAATAATACTCACCCAAGGTTAGCTAAGTAGAGGGAACATAAAATAGGACAACGTTTTGGAAGGACAATTTGCAGAGAGGGTCGTAAAGTTTAAAAATGCCTGTCCCCTTTGCCCCAGCAACTCCCTTTTCAGGAATCCAAGGAAGGAGTCGGGGACGTTTATAGAAAAAAAAAAAAAAAAAGAGAAACAACCGGAATGTCCAACAATTGGCACTTGGTCAAATTAATCAAAGTTCATGCTGATGTGAGGACAGCCTTGTCCATCATGAAAGATCACGTGTTTAAACCATTTTTAGTAAGCTTCAAAAGCACTACTATTAATTGAATAAAGCAGGAACAAAGCGAATATAAAGCATGATTCTAATTTGGTTACAGAAATACTAATAGTTAACACTTCGTGAACACTTACTGTGTGCCAAACGCTTTGCTAAGCCTGCAGAATCAAGCTCACCCCAGCCGTGAACAACCTGCTCGCTTCCTGAACATGGGCTCTGGTCACACACATGCAATCCTGGGGTAGGTCCACACAGCTAAACCATGGTTGACAATGGCGCGAAGTGCCCCCAGTCCCCCCCGCCCCCCACAGAGGGTCTCCTCTAAAGCGACACAAGCAAAGTTCAGTTAAGTGCTCAGCTTGCTCGGGCACCTTGCAATCCTCCTGCTACCAGGGTGAACAGAACTGATGCTCGCTCTCGTAAGATGTAAAGGTCCTCAGTGACATTACAATTATTAAGCGCCAGCTGTGTACAAAGCTCTAGGCTGGATGCTGGGTGGGAAGGCAGGCAGGGGAAGGCAAGAAAAGAGCGCGGGAGAGACGGAGGAAAGGAGATCGATGGAGTGTGGTCAAGATGGAGGAGACACAGGGGAGATGGTCTGAGGCCAGGAGAGATGCGGGGAAAGAGAGTCTAAGTGTAGCGACAGACAGATGGTGGGAGAAAGAGAGACAGAGAAACGTAAAAGAGCGAGACAGGGTGAGCAGAGAGACAGAGAAGGATGAGAGGCATCAAGAGCTAAGAGACAAAGAGATGAGAGAGATGCAGTTGAAATTTCCAGTCGCACCTGAACAGCATTTCAAGTTGTTCAAAGCTCTGAAATCCGTAAAGACCCGGAGCTGATATATTTTAAAAATCCTACCCATCTACGTATCAATTGTTGAATTTATTTAGCTTTGCTCCTGATTAAGTACTTCAACTTTAAGTCTTCTGCCATTTATTCTATTATTATTTTCTTAAAGACCTTACCTGGCTGGAATCATGGTAGCTGGGTGCATCCCACTGTATCAGAAGGCCCTGACCCCGCAGTGCCTACCTCTCTGCCATCTCCTTCAATGGGGCCCACATCTGGTAGTGGAGAGCGGGGACACTCACCTTGGTAAAGTGGACCGACAGAAAAGGATCAGCCTGGCTTGTGGGAAACTGTCACGTATCAAAAACAACTTTGCTTTTATACCGAGAAGAAAAACCACGGTGTGGAAGCCACAGACCTCTCTCTTCTAATAATCCAAATTTTTTTTCGATGAGTGTGTGCGCTGATAATCACGGGGGGGTTTCTCATAGTTCTCTCTCTCCTCTCTCTCTCTCTCTCTCTCTCTCTCTCTCTCTCTCTGTTTCTCTTTTTCTTGATTATGAGACTTAAACGGAAATTTTCAAATTTTGGGTTTTTTCTTTGCCCTTTACGAGTCATCTGAAAATATGATTTCTTCCCTTCACCACAAAGGTGAGAGGTATCAATGAGATAACAGGGTTCATGAGAAACCACGTTTTTAAAACAAAAGTGTGTAAAGTTTGGAAAAAAAAAAGCAACCAGGGAAAAGAACTAAAATAAATCACAGGGCCATCCTGAGGCAGGCAGAGACACCATTCTGTGAGTGAGAGGATATTTGAGGGTCTCTGGGGAAAGAGAGAAACTGAAGCCCTATGTGTGGATGGAAAATGCCAGGGAAAGGGACAGGAATAGGGCCGAGTTTCCAGAGGCCTCGCCCTGCTCCAGGCCTCAATTTCCCCATAGATGGAATTGGTATGGTCCCCACTGCTCTACCCAGAGAGGGGAGTTCTGGACCCCCCTGCAACAACCCTCCCACAGAGGGTGAGAGCCATGTAAGTTACTTCACGGAGGAGAAAGAGGGAGCCCACCGTCATCCCCTACAATTCACGGAATCGAAGAGTCGAAGAATCACTGGCTCCCAGAATCCACTGACAGTTACTGAATGAGGAAAGAGAGGAAAGTCTTGCCTCATCACACTTTGGGGCTTGAGTGCCCTGACCCAGCCACCGCCCCACTGGGAAGGTCCCCAGTATTAATGCGTCCATCCGCACGAAGAAGTCCATAGGCCCACTGGGATACTGACCCTCTAGTTTCAGGAACATCATGGCCTGATGCTTCTGGGGCCCCCAGCCTTTGGGATATTTTACTTTGAAAAGCCCTAGTTTCCAAGGATTTAGGATTCCAAATATCCACCATCATCTCAGTAGCTGATGTTTATCTTGAATTTTCAGTGGGTCAGATACAGCGCTGAACACATCTCACAAGTGATCACGTTCAAACCTCACCATGGCCCCTTGAGCTCCATCTCATCATTATTGTGTTGCTGCTATACAGATGAAGGAAATGGAGGCATAAGTAGTCAAGCAACTTGCCCAAGATCACAGAGCTGGCGAGTGTGGGTCCTGCTTTCTTTGGTGCCAGGTTTTGAAATCCCCAAGTTTTCTTGAAGTTGATGGTCTCAGGTTTTAAATTCTAGGATGTGATGACAGGGAGATTCTGGGATTTGGAGAGTCCTTGGAGACTTGAAGCTTGTGAGGTTTTTAGGTTACAGCAATTAGCGGCTACATTTCTTGACCTCAGCAGGCACAATCTCCAGTCAGTGGTCAACATGGTAGACCAGCCCCCAGGGGCTTCTTCTGACAGGCCATGACAGAGACTTCCAGCTTCCAGCACCCTGCAAAGCCCAGGGTTCTAGTCGTTCACATCCACTCCAGCCCTTTACAAGACTGGCTTCAGACCTGGGGAAGAGAAATTGGAAAAAGCTTTTTATTTACATGGTACAAATCTGGTAGCCAAGACCCACCCCTTCACCCATTTGTCCCCTTTCCTCCCTCCACCTTCTAAGCCCTCATAAAAAGGAGGGCCTGCTTCCTCAACTCAGACTCACCCTTCTGGAAAAGCCCAGAGTGGGCCTGATGGCCTGGCTTTGTGAAGACAAGAAAAAAAAAGCTCGAATAGAAAAAAAAAAAAGACCTTAAAAGAATCAGCCAACAACAATTAAAAAAAAAAAAACCCAACCCTCTCTACCATTAGTTCAAAACAAAACTTTCGCTGGTTGAGGCTTCTGAGTTGGTGGGACACATCTGAGATCCAAAAAATGGCATGTGTTCGATGTGTTGGACAGGCAGGGGAGGCACCAAGGTGGGATGAGGTCCCCTGCTTGGAGGCCTGCAGGGACCCCGTGAACAGCAGGTGTTTAACAGATGTCGCAGCATGTGGGAGGGAGCAAGGGAGGGGGTGAAGGGCATGCATGTCAGGAAGGAGACCTGGGGAGCCGACTCTAGTGATGCCCCCAAGGTTAATGACCCCTTGCAGTGATGCTTCCAAGATTAATGACCCCTTGCAGTGATGTTCCCAAGGTTAATGACCCCTTGTTCCCTGCAGGCTTGGGTCGGAATGTTCCCTACATCTCCTGTGTAATGATAAACCAGGCCAGTTCTATCAGCAGAAGCCTTGTTCCCTGCCCCCACACCTGTCCCTTCCTGGAAAAGGGGTCTAGTTTTCTCTCTCAGGATCAGAGGTGTGGGCTGCATCCTCCTTACGCCTTACCCAGACCATCCATCCCTTAGTGTCACTCACTTCATGAAAGAGAGTGGCCAGAGAGATAGGAGGCAAATGGAGTGAGGGTGGTGGCCCAGAATGTCGGCTGGCCCCTTGGGCAGGGCCCAGGGTGTGAGAAGGAGATGCTACTACTGCTGAAAGCCAGGATCCTTGCAGAATGGGGGCTGGGGGTCAGGACCTCCCCTCTATACTGGACTATATCCTCTCTCATGGAGGGCTTCTGGGCTAGGAGTTGGGGAAGAGTGGGAAGGACTAAACAGGTCAGGAAAAGTCCCCAGAGAAGGGGGCCTCTGACAAAGACTTGAAGGAGATGAGGGAGGGAGCAGCTAGATATCTGAGGAACTCCAAAGGAAACAGCCAGGGCAAAGGTCCTGAGGTGGGAGTGTACCTGATTTGTTCAAAGTCTACAAGAAGGCTGGTGTGGTTAGTGTGGAGGGAACAAGAAGAGAAGTTGGAGGTGAGGTCAGAGAGCGGACTCGGAGGTTAGACCACGCAGGAACTTGTAGGCCATGGTAAGGACTTTGGCTTCAACACTGAGTGAGGTGGAAGGCATGAGAGGGTTGCAAGCATAGGAGAAACATAAACTGTGTTAGAATTTAACAGGAAGCCCCTGACTGCTAAGTGTCCAATGGGGTCTAGGGACTGAATGTGGAAGCAGGGGACCAGCAAGGAGCTGGCTACTGTAGTAGTCTAGGTGACTGGTGATAGTGTTGGCAGTGGAGGTGGTGAGAAGAGGGGTATTTGGGAAATATTTTTAATAGAGAGCCAAAAGGATTTGTTGAAGACTGAGAGTCTCGGGGCCAGATCAGGACAGACGATACCCAAACCAGGTAGGCAGGGAGGAGTCCCCGGACTATTTGCCAGCTTGAACTTTTAGGTGAGAAAAAATAAAGTTCTATCTTGCTTAAGCCCCCATTATTTTATGATTTTTCTGTTAATTGCAGCTGAACATATTCCTTTCTAACTCATGGACATCCTGGACATGGAGACCTGGGGAGAGGGGCTGCTGGAAAGATCACCTCCCTCCTAGGATGCTGTGAGATTCCAATGAGATAACAGCATGCTCAGAACCTGGCACTCAGTAGGTGTTCAGTACATCTTCCCAGGATGGAGGAGGAATGTCTGAATGGATGTGTTCAGTGGACAAAAGCTACAGTTGAGTTCCCACAGAAGGTGAGACTACAGAGGGAGAGTGAAAGGAGTTTACAAGAGGGAAGCAGCAGAAAGAACAGCACTCTTGGGAGAGGGAACAGTAGGAGCAGAGAAAGCGGGGAAGTGAGGCCCCTGTGGGGTGTGGAGTGTCATGTTGGGCAAAAGACAGGGCTTTGATTGTGATTCTATTAGTCAGAGGCTACCTATATGCCCAGTCAACTTCTGGCAGCACACAGTCAGGCTCAGTGATTAATGAGCTGAAATCAAAAAAAGTGAATCCTTCAGAAAGTTCAATTTCCTATTTGGCTATTCATTCAACAATAGTACCAATTCCTGGAGAGTGCTTGGGGCTGACAATCAGGGGCATTTTTTCTTTTTTGAGACGGAATCGGACTGTCTCCCGGGCTGGAGTGCAATGGAACAATCTCGACTCACTGCAACCTCTGCCTCCTGGGTTCACACGATTCTCCTGCCTCAGCCTCTGGAGTAACTGGGATTACAGGCACACAACACCACACCCGGTTAATTTTTTTTATTTTTTAGTAGAGATGGGGCTTCACTATTTTGGCTAGACTGATCTCGAACTCCTGCCCTTGTTATCTGCTGGCCTCGGCCTCCCAAAGTGCTGGGATTACAGTCGTGAGCCCCGGCGCCCAGCCAACAATCAGGGGCATTTTCGGCTTGCGGCACTGCTCAAGCAAAGGTTGGAGTTGGGCAGGGAGGACCCAGTAACTAACTGCAACAGGAGAGTCCTTTTCACTTTCTTAGGCCACACACCAGGGTGTGGTCTAGGCCTTCAGGGGCTCTGGGTATTCCTGGGGCAATAGGGAGTCACGGAGGGTTAGGGAGAGAGTAACCCCATCCCTGAGAGGCACATTTTTCCTAATCCGACCACCCAATAGCTCAGACTCTGCCTATACAGCATCCTCCCCTCTGGCCTTCTTATTGGCTACTCATGCCTCCCTTCACACCACCTACACCATCCGCGCCGGCTTTGCTTTTTTCCCTGTCTCGCCTCCAAGCCCACCCTCCATTCTACTACACTTTCTAGCCTCGGCATTGGTTCATGCCATACTAACACTGCCCTTTGAGGGCTCGCCGCCTTCACCCTGGCTCTCTCATTGGCTATCCGCCATCTCTCTTCCTCACTCCCGCCTTCAGCCTCCACCTCCATTGGCTCGGCCACCTATGGTCCCACCTCCGTGGCCGCTGACACACCCGCCTCTTGGGTTCTTTTTAGCTTTCATATTGGCTAGTTCCTCCTCGACACCGCCCCTCGAAGCCCTAGTGCACGCTCACAAGACTCCCAATTGGCTCGCTATAGCCATTATCGTCACTCCGCGAGCAGCTGTTCATTGGCTGTTCTCTGTCTCTAGCTTCCGTTCTACTGCCTACGCAACCCGCGGGATCTCCCACTTTTCAGGCCTCTGCGTTACTTCCCGGCTGCCCTCATCGCCTGCAGCCATTCCACTTTTCCCACCGCCCACATGTCGCTCTCGCTCAGGCTTCCGCATTAGCTGCCCTGCTTCTGCTATCTTCATCCTGGATTCCGCACCACCATATTCCGGCCTTTTCATTGATTCCCCGATCATCCCGCCCCCTACACCGCCCACTCCCGGGCATCCCCATTGGCTGCGTGCTTCTCTTGCTCTCAATTCACTGTACGTCATCCGCGCGTGGCTGCCCATTGGCTCTCTGCTATACCTGTCTTCATCTCGCCGCCTACGCCCCCGTGAGCCGTATCCTCCCGCGCTGGCTTTCCTATTGGCTGCCCGCCCCTTCAGGCCCTGCCCCCGCCGGTCCCGCCGCCGGTGCCGTCGGTGCCGCCGCCGCCGCCGCCGATATGGCGCGTACGGCCCCTGTGGAGCCCCCGCTGCGGCATCCCGCGCCCCCCTCGCCAGCCGCGGGTGAGCCCCGCACCTCGGTAGAGGCGGCGGTGGCCCCGCGGAGGGTGCTCTTCGCCGACGAGGCCCTGGGGCTGCCGCTGGCGCAGTTGCGCCGCTACCGGCCGTGGGGCGGGCCCGGGGCGGGCAAGATGGCGGCGGCAGCCGGGCAAGATGGCGGCGGCGGCGGCGGCGGGGCCGACGAAGACGACGATGGCGAGGATGGGGATGAAGGGGAGGAGGAAGAGGAGGCTTGCCCCGAGCCCTCGCCGCTGTGCCCCGTCCCCGCTGGCGGGGGGTTTTACTTGGTCCCCACATTTTCGCTGCCGCCCGCGCCGGGCCGTCTGGAGCGCTTGGGGCGCGTCATGGTGGAGCTGGAGGCGCTGCTGCCGCCTCCCGGAGCGGTCCCCGGGGGTGCCGGGGTGTGGGTGCCCGGGGGCCGCCCGCCAGTGCTGCGCGGGTTGGTACGCGTGCTGAACCGCTCGTTCGAGAAGGCGGTGCACGTGCGGGCCTCACACGACGGCTGGGCTTCCTTCTGTGACCACCCAGCGCGCTACGTCCCGCGCAGCCCACCGTGGGCAGGAGCGGGAGGAACAGGAGCAGGAGATCCCATCCTGGATCCGGGGCTCGGCCTAGGCCCCGGCCAGGCGTCCGCCTCCTCGCCCGACGACGGCGGCCGCACTGACCGCTTTGCCTTTCAGCTGCCCTTTGCTGAGGGCGCGGGCGATGGGGCGCGCCTCGACTTCGTGGTGCGCTATGAGACCCCCGAGGGCACTTTCTGGGCCAACAACCACGGCCGCAACTACACAGTCCTGCTCCGGATCGCACCCGCTCCCACACCCACTGATGCTGAAGGGCTGCCCCAGCAGCCGCAGCTGGAGCCACAGCCCGAGTGCCAGGGTCCCGTGGAGGCTGAGGCCAGGCAGCTGAAGAGCTGCATGAAGCCGGTGAGGCGCAGGTAATGTCAGCCAGCGCCACCTCCGCCAACGCAGGGCTGTGTCTGGGATGGAGGACAAGCATTCCGACCCAGGAACCCCTCAGGCCTGCTCTCCAGGACAGGGAGGAGGGTGCATTGAGTCAGTTAGTCAAAGAGTGATGGAGATCAAACATGTGCTAGGC